TGCAGCAAACCACCCCACAATGGACAACACTACTTGTATCTGTTATCAAAACGGGGTCAGTTGTTCCCAACTCCTGTACAACAGACCAGATGTGGACATAAAGGATTCGACTTCTTTTGAAGGAAACTTTCGATGCACAGATATAAAAGACAAATCAACTGCAACTCACTGCGATTTGTGGTATCAACTGACAATGCCAACCTACCGCTACATATACCACCCATTTGGTGTGGAACCCCGCTTCTGTCAGTGCAGCCCTGATGCCCTTCTGATTGACAGATTCGGGTGCATCTTTGAGAAACTCAAAGCGAACAAGGCATCCTTGCAACGTGCAGCACAGACAAAACAAAAAATGAGAAGGCGAGCCGCCAAAGATGTGATAGGAACTCATTGTCCGAACTGTGGACAAACCTGGAGAGCTTCACCACATTGCACCGTGTCAACAAGCAACTTGTTACCAAACTACAAACACCCACGGAGTGATTGGCACCATGTTCCGCCAAACAAAAGGTAGTTTCACATGGAAGCACATCAAAGTCCTCCATCGTTTCCATCAGCTAACTTTCGTGGGGTTAGTCTCGCAACAATGCAGTGGCCTCAGTGAAGTCTTATATTGTAGCATCAGGGAGTTCAGTCGAACTGCGAAAGATCGTGAGTGACATCATTGACCACAAAAGAACATGCTCCACTTCCAACAGAGGGTTCCACGCACTTCAACAGCAACTTGCAGATGTGGTGACTATAGCTGAAAACTACGGCCTCCACTATCAAATAGGGCTCCAGTTGTAAGCCCTATGGTCAAGGGCTCCTGTTGCATTTGATGAGGAATATTCCACAGTGAACAACAAGATGAAAAGCACAGCCATCGGATGCTACACTTTTGTTTGACTGACACATTGGTAGTCTAGAAATTGCAGTGGCATACACCGCTTCAGAAGCCGATCCTCAAGCTCACACACAAGTGGTGGCAGTACAGTGTTCATCGTCCCTTGGTCCCAAGAGATAAATGCATACATTCCTGTCTCCAGTCCACTCAGAGATGGAATATCACATCAATCATATCAGATGAGCGACTTATCAAGTGCTCTCATCATCGTGGAATTTGGCACAATATGTCCAAAACGTGGCGATGCCGCACAGCCCCCAGCCCACCCTACCCCCTACCCCCACCTCTAACCACCCCAAATCCACTCACTCTAGGTCTCACAAAGAGTGGTCATTTGTGAGGTGCAGCCATACCTGGTATCGTTTCTGGCTCTGGTCGATTGCCACCCTTCTTGGCCTTTTCTTCCACCTGCAAGTCAATTTGAAGCGTAGCAATTCCCTGTCAACTAGAAATTCAAAGGACAGACACCTGCGATGATCACCTTTTTCAATGTGCTGACTGGCAGCATAGACAGAAAAAGAGATATCCAGATGTAAGGAACGGGGGCTACCTGGGCGCATGTGCCACAAGCAGATACGCAATGTCCAGAAAAACATTGTCCACCCGCCTCCAAGGCGATGAACAACAATAAGTGCTTTGCAAACATGTCTTGTCTGCTGCACATCTGCCTTCGAAACAGAAAATGCAAGGATGGATCGGTGCAATCAGAATGCTTGTTGTCCAACTTCACACGCAAGGGAATATATTGGAAACCCTGACACCAATAGCCGATGTGAACCCTCAAACCATGAACCTAGAGCATGGTTGCATTCTGCAAACCAAACTAGTGTGGGCGCTTTTATGCCCAGCGCACAACAAAAGTCCTCACCATTTTGCCCTCTTTCATCTTCTTCTGCCTGTCCCCTCTTCCGTTTTCCCAGTTTCCCTTGAACTCCTTTCGAAGGAGTGCTCCAGCGTACTCAATTTCCATGTCAATCAGCTGACCACAGAAGACCCATCAGACCCATGCATTCAGCAGGTACATGAACGTGTAATGAATGTGCATTCGGAGCAATACAAAGAGAAAATTGAACACAACAACAAGAACAAACTGTGTTTGTGGTAGAATTGAGCAGCACCAATCTGGCACCATTATTGGCATCACAACCAGCACTAACAATCTAGCACTGCTGGTAATAGTCACAGCCATCGCCAACAAGTGATGCTACACTGTAAATCACATAGCAGTAATTGCAGTGTTGGCTGCAAGCATTGTGGCCAACACTGACAGCATTGTGGTGATAAGGCACGCCTGTGTGGGTCTTGGAAGGGACAAAATGCCTGTGGCAAACCAATGGTGACAAAAGAATGCAGTGCTATCTGCACACAAGTTGCTAACAAGCCTCAGCAACTACTGCAGAAAAGAAGGCTCATTCGTAGGGCCTCATCGTGCAGGCCATGATTTCTTCATGATTCATGTCATCCCAGACAGAACTTCGGGTTGTTTGGTGTTGAACGTAGCACAACATTGCTGCAGCAACAATTTTCGAGGATGTGAACAGCACCCTGGCGTTGTCTACTGGATGCAAGAAAGTTTCCTCGCCTCCAGGAGGAGGCACTCAACGTTGACTTTGATCGCACCAATAGATAGATGGCGACCATCTGTACCTCGAATGCGTTCATTGTGAATAACTGCACTGAAGTCCATAAGCCTATTGTGAAAGTACTGGCAAACTCGCAAACTCGCTACAGCCCAGCGCGTTCCCAACTCTCCCCCATGGACTCTCGCATCGAGTGATGGGGCCACATCCAACAGTGCCAAACAGGTAGCTATGGCCTACAATTCAACACTCGATTGGCATCGCAATGTGCAGGGACAACCACAGTCTACAAACAGGCATACCTGCTTGCACACAGGTATATAAAATGATGGGAAGAACCATGCTAGCCCAGAATCTTGGGATTCCAACTGTCTGACCTTGGAGTCCACTACAGCCACAACAAAGGGGTGGCGATCCAGCCACTAAGCGATTGCATCGTGCAGACATCGCCAAGAATACTTGACCAGGTTCTCAGCGAGCTTGGTGCCATGAAGCTCATCAAGCTTGGTGCTTGAAGCCAATGCGAAAGTTGCCCAAGGGAAACTTGAGTGCAACTGCACTGTGCATTGTGTATGTGTCACGGATTTCTGGCACTCTTGTAACCCATGACAACTACTAGCAGCTCAACGCTCATTCCCATGGCCCCCAATACAACGCACCAGAATCCGACTTCACAACTTCAGAAAACAGTATGGAGCTCAACTGTTCCAGTAACGAATTTGGAACTGAGTTCTTCAACAACTGCTCTCTAACACAAGGACAAGCAAATGAGGTGCAAGGGTGACACACCCACCTCCTGAGCAGCCTGTATCGACTTGCATTCCAGAAAGATGTCACCTGAGAATGCACCTCGCTTTTTCAACATCTGGACAGAGTTGATGGGGACCTTTGTGCGGAAAAAATCTTCAAGAGTCTCCAGCTTTGTGTCAAAAGGGAAAGGAGTTACATGTAATGAACGTGCTTTGATCATCTTCTTCAATTCGCCAACATCGCCCAATGGCTGCAGGAAACAACACCAAATTGTCACATCCTGCACAAAAGCAGCCAATCACAGATTTTGTTATCCAAATCTCCAGCGGCTTTGCGATCCTACTACCTGCCTTGAGTGGAGCTCAGAACTAAAATGCACATCAACACTCAGCACCCACGTCAGCCTGTGCTTTTCGCCTCCACGGAGGTGCAAACTGAAACCCACTTCAACGCCAAAGGGCATCCAATTCGAAGCTGGCCACAGCTCAAAATATCAACACTTTCGCCAAGCGACACACCTCCTTTCTCTTCACTCTCAGGCCATCCTCACTGACAACAATGTCTTCACAGTCCCTCAGGATTTCTCCCACAGACTTGCACACACTGGCTGGAGCATCACCAACCTTCACATCTTCCCCCAACTGTGCAAATGAGAAAACGTCAACTTGAGCATCAGCAAGGGCAAACCATGGAGTAGGATAGAGTATTTTGGATGAAACATCACATGAAGTCCAGTTCCTCAGTTCCAGGGGACTGTAGTGACTCATAACCATGCATATCTCAATTCCCAGACAACTAGCACCACTCCACCCATAAACACACGAACCTTGAGGAAGGTCTTCATGCGATTGAACGTGCAAAGCACTGCAAGATCAACAACTGCAACAAAACCGTAAAGAAAAGTCACAACCAGACAATGCATTGCCACAACCCGTGACCAGACCGAGGGCCTCCCTCTTAAAATTGTGCACATGACTTGTGCCGTTGCCATGTTTGTTGATAAACTATCCACAACATCACATCCAGATGTCAGGAGTACAAGCACAAGAATCAACTAACATCCTCCTATATGTCCAAGAAACACCCTGGGATCGGTACTTGAATTTCCATCCCTAGGACAAGCCACTGGGTCAGAAATGTATGAGAGTGGGCACATCTACAATGTCCATTTGACAGGCTCTTACCACAATCAACTGCACAAATTGTGGATTCTGGCTTTGGTACAGGAAATCATCCCAAGGCTTTGAAGGCTGTCTGATGGAGGGCTGCAAAAGGACAAAAAAGTTCCACACGCTGACACAATTGCGTGCACTTGTGCCATGTGCTTTCTGAGGGTAGCACGCCTTTCTCAATATGAATTTGCAAAGTACACAAGGGAAATGTTGCTGCCCCCCCCTCCCCCGGGGCCACATTGCGCTATCAGCACCACAACATCTCCCAACCCCTGGCTCTCAATTCACGAATAAGTGTTGATTTGTTGTTCTGACAATTGTCACTGACACCAAATCATATCACCACGGTGTTGCATAGACAGCCTGCTGTGCACCAAAGCAGGTCATGCTCCAGTTGTGTCCTTACATCCATCAGAATCTTCACCAATTTTCGTCTGCAGGAAGTCGTCCCGGACAAGGTTGCTGTCACAGAGGTAGTAGCAGACCTGACACACGGACGGGGCACACCAACAGCGACAACTTAGCGTTGCGCGTGTTTTGCTGTGGACTTTCACAGCCCCACAAAGGAAAGCAGCGACGCCTAGCTCCTGCCGGAAAGGGGGATTCCAATTTTATGACCATTTTTCTTCTCTCGTCCAACAGATCAGCAGTGGCATCGCGGCCCATTGCACCCCTTGCGCCGTTGAAGCTTCGCCGGCACTACCGGGCGCTGACACAGACTGGTGCAGCCACAATATGTTTCCGAGCTCTTTCTGGAAGCCTTGAGCGTCCACACTGGAAGGCCAACGTTCTCAGGTATAACTAAACTTTATTGATTCACAACAGTGATCCAGGCTCCTGCAGAACTCGACAAAACGGCCACGTCCGCGACACCATGCGGCACACCAACCTGCCGCTTGATGCTCTTGATTGCGCCCGGCGACAAAGCGTCGTCCATACCAGCGTCCTCGTCCTGCAAATCCCTCATCAGTCTGACCCGTATGCCAACCCTCTGGTTGCGTGTGCACTTGCCATTGGGTCACATGGGCGCTATGCAATCTCGCAACGTTCATCGGCCTTCAGCGTCGATGTGTGTCCCGCCAATCGCATCCGCGGTGATGGCATTTACTTTGGGGCATCGAAACGCACCTTCATATGGACGCAGCCGCCTGCGCACACACGGTGTTTCCCAAGCCGCCGCCTCCCGCCAAGAAGAGTCCCTTGGGGGTTTGTGGCTGTTCAACGGAGCAGCCCAGGTGCCAATTAGACCGAGGTCCGCAGAGAAGTGTCGTTGGGCGGGGTCCCGCGAGTAGTTCTCCGGCAGGCGCGCTCTGCCACGTTCTCTGGCCGCAACAGCAGCACCGACAGAGGGAACACGGATTGCTTGTGACTGCCACCCGGAAGCTACAAGTAAACGCGAAGGAATTACGCCGCCGCCCCCGGCACCAAATCGGTGACTGCTTGCACCAAGTCACGTGCACATCATGTCCAACTCCGTCCAAACTAACCTAATGTAAAGATCTGTGCCCGGGCATGGCACGACCCTTCGGGGTTGGCACAGCAGAATTCGACATGCGGAAAACACCGTATACCGATTCACCGCGTCGAAATGCGATCGAAATCGCCACACACAGGACGCTGGGCTTATCCCTTTGCAGGGAACCACCCGCCCGACCGTCAAGTCCCAACCCCACTTCGTGAGGAGGCCCGTTCAGGTGCTCCGGTTGTAAGCGAGAACACTCTTACAGACCGGGGGCGGCTACAATGCGCACCCCCGCCACTTTATACATTACCGTAAGCGAGAACACTCTTACAGACCGGGGGCGGCTACAATGCGCACCCCCGCCACTTTATACATTACCGCAATTAGGTTCATACGACAAAACGAAAGGTCCAC